AAGAGTCTGGATTACTTTGAATTCTTCAGATGATTAAACTGTTCACTGATACATTTATCTGTTCTGAGCAGCTCACAGCACCTACATGCCTGCATATGTATAAAACACTGTAATTGGTTACAATTTATTCTGCACAGGATTATTTGCTGAAAAGCCTCTTGTTTTGTAGCTGAGCCACCCGGGGAAGAGGAAGTCAGACCAGTGGTTTAAGCCTGAAGTCGTCCATTTTGCAAATGTCTTGTTTTATCTTATCAGCACGCAGCAGAGAGTTCACAAGAAATACAGAGGAAGAAAAACCACTGTGGAATTTCCACTATGATATCTTTGTGTATGACACAATTTTTATATTATCCGCCTGTACTGGAATAATAATAATAATCATCATTGCTACATGTAAGTACACATGACACAGCATGAAAACAGATCAAATGTAGAGTCACTGTGGTAACGACACAAGAAAAAAAAAAAGAAACCTGAAACCCTGAAATACAGCTGCCTTTAAGAGCAGATATTTCTACACTTGCTCCTTGTTCTTAGACATTTTTAGGTTTCATATCTTGAAACATCAAAATCTGTCCTTGAATATCGACAGATATTGAAATTTGTATAAACAACCACAATCTATTTCCCTCTTCCTTTTGTTGCAATAAAACAAACCCAAACAGCAATAATAATAATAATAATATCTCCTGCTCACGTGTAAACTCAGGCACGACTTCTCTTATAATCTCCAATAAACATAATAAAGTTGGTGGCTTTAAAGAAACCAAAGGAAGGATTCTTAAATGTATGAGAGGAGATTTCCAGACAAAAATACAAAATAAAAACAGACTGATGAAGATGTTGTGACCAAGGTGCTTTGAGAGCCACAAAAATGTCGTTAAATGAACAATAAAAAAGACACACACACTAGTAGCAGCTTTTTTCTAAATAAGATCATGAATACCAGAATTAAATGTAATTATAACGTCATGTTAAACAAAGAGGGATGTGTGGTCACGTGAACGAGCAAAGATGCCTCGTCTGGGAGAACAAGCACGTCCTCACACATGTATGCGCAAAAAACAAGCCAGTCTATTACTACTTACATTTAAAAAGAGTAACGACCGAGGGCATCAAAAATATTATGAAAGGTTGTTTATCCCATACAGTCCAGCCGAGATAACCACGGTCACTCTTAGAAAGACGCCGATCAGACGCCACACAGACAGGGCCGAGCCAGTTGGCTGTCTTCCTGTGAGGAGACACTGCACCAGTGTAACGCACACTGTACAGACCATAATGACAAAATTAATATAATAATTAGATGACTCACTCACTGTTTGATGAAAGTCATCAAAGAGAAGGAGTAAAATGATCCGGTCGTCAAACAAAGGTTGTTTTCACCAAATAATTTATTAATCCATCATTTCGTTACATGTTGGAGGACAATACTGATGTACTGTAGTTTAATACATTATTAGTACCACTCAGGATTTACACGTCATTTTCTGTTATCACTGTTCAACAATCAGCTGGTCAGTCAGAGGACACCAAGGAAGTTTCATGTATGAAAATAACAAAAATACTAAAGTCGGGTTTTCAGCAGCAACTCTGAGATTCTTCCATCGTTTCTTTTCTCTCAGTAAAAATATTTTGAGCTCCTTTTTTTCCTGTGATGGAGACTGATGGTTTTTAGTTTCAGTACAGTTTAACGGTGAAAGCTGCAGGAAACAGAATAATAACATCTACACTCATCATTTCAACCCAGGCAGTAAAGGCATCGAGATCTGCTCAGACCCGTCACGCACCGGAGGGTCGAAGCTGATAAATACTGTGAACCATCTTTGGTCTGGAACCTGTTTTGTTTTCAGAGGAAACAAATCTGCATTTTCAGGTGACAAAAGAAGGTCGAATTATCACAGTGGTCTGAGCAGCTTTCAGGAACAAACACGTCCATGCAGAAAACATGTTCTTCAGGTTTTATCTTCTTCTTTGTCACATTATGAATTATTTTCAAAGCAGCTTTACCTTTTGTTAAAACACATCTCTTATTTAACACATACTTTATCAGATACACACCCATATTTGACCTTCCTGTATCAGTTTACACCACATGGAAACATTAACTCTGACGTCCTGAACATAATCCAACATCAACGACTCCCGAAGTAAAAATTACCGTCAGTACAAACAGGTTTAAACAGGTTTAGTTTCTGTGAACATAAAACTGGATGAATAAACAAACAAATGAACTACTTGTTTTGGTCACATGACCATCGTGTGTAAAGTGTTCAAATGCATTAATCTCCACATTTAAGCATGAAATCATTATATTTAGACGTCTCTCACACAGTCGCTGAGTTTTCTCTGCAGCCGTTCAGCAGTTGACAAAAACAAACAGGATCAAACCCAAACAACCAAATCTGAGTCATACAGGAAACTCTGGAGGTCAAAGGTCACTGTACAAAAGCCAACAGTCTGCACCGAGTCTGAGCTCCAAACCTGCGTATAAAACATCTAAGCTGAGCCTTCACAGAAGGTAAAACATTCACTCTGAATCTCTTTGAGCTGGAAAACATCTCTAAAGGCTAAATATTCATGAGGTCACCAATAACTGCTCTGTGCTGCACGTCTGATTTTCATAAACACACACAACTATCACACCGCTGCAGATGTGTGTAACAGTAACACCTGTATGACCAGAGGGCGGCACAGCTCTTTGAAAGGAAAGTCACTCAGAAAAGACTGACTTATTGATAAACATAATAACACACCTCCCGTCGTGGAAAACGTTTCTCTTTAATTGCACTCATTTTGCATTTATCACTGTAATTTTCTCTTTTATCTTCACTCTAGCACAGACCTGAAAACCTTTCAAAATAAACTAAACGATCAACAGAATGTGAATAAAAAGCTCCAAAACATCTGGGTCTAAAGCATCTGCATACTCATCCTGCAGACTGGGCTGTTCTTCAGTGCAATACCGATTCCTACCACAAGATGGCGCACTGACTCAACATTAACTTTATTTGGGGAGGTAAGCCATAAAGATTACGTTCTTTTTATAATAGTGGTCAGAAAAAGGTAAAATCTTCGAGGGTAAATGGGATTCAGGCTGAAGAACTGCTCACCTGTGGTTTAATACACCTGTCTGTGTTCTCAGCAGCAATAATTAATCAAATAATTATTTTTTTAATAATTGCATCAAACCAGTTAGTAACATTTAAAAACCACACTGAGGAAAATATCCGAAAATTAAAATGAAAGCACGACTCACTGCAGACCTCTACATTATGTTTTAAATACTATTAGGTTCTTCTACATATAGAGACCCACCAAAGATGTAAAGTAAGTATATATAGATCAGCTTCCTCCCTATGAGCTCAATAACAACTAATATTATTATGTTTTTATGGTAGCCTGTTAACTTTAAGGGTTAAGCAGTACAGCAATGATGTCATTGTTCCCTCATCAATGTGCAACATTTTTAGAATGAAGCTCCAAAATCTAATCGTCTACTCCCAAAAACAAAAATTATTAAATTATGTTTTATAATTGTGCATCTCAGAACATTTGAATATCACGACTATCAAATTTTCATATATTCCATGTTCATATTCATTACACATAAAGTGAAATATTGGAAGCGTGTTTTCAAACTGTGATGATTATTATTAAAGTTCAGGCTGCTTTGCTGGCGCTCTTCAGCTCGTGTGTTTCTCATCTTTCTCTTGATGATTCTCCATTAACGCTAAAGTCAGGTGAGCTCGAGGACCAATCAGAGAACAACGTGGTCAACAAATCATTCGGGGCTGCTCGAAAAGAAAACTGACATCGCCATGAAGCTCTTCATCAGATGGAAGCTGACGCTGTGTAGATGACAGATGACATCATTCCTGGTAATATGCTTCCATATAGGCATGAAACATTACATGTAATGAATACAGAATATGTGAAGATTTTCCCCATTTGAATTATGAAAAAATAAACTTTTTAATAATATTCTAATTTTTTGAGATGCACTGGTATAACGCAGTCTACTAAAACCTTCGTTTACAAACTTCTGGAACACATTTTCCTTAAAGAACTTTTAAAGAAATTTAAAAAAGGCAGAAAAAGTGTGATAATAATAAAAATATAATTAAAGACAGAAATCTCTCTTCATAACAAACAGAATAAGGATATTTGACTCTCAGTGTGCAGAACAGCTGCTGAAGATGAGGTTCAGTCTTTACCCGCCTCCATAACTTTATCTAAATGTGCTGTGAGACACTCAGAGGAGGTACACTGTGTAGCTTAGATAAGACCTCAGTGAACTAAACATTACTGAACAGATGGCTGCAGGGTAGGAGGGTAGAGAAACTCTCACAGACTTTGTCCTCTGAAAAATCAGATCAAACAACATCTGCATCTAAACGTCGCTCCTGGCCTGATGAGTAGATGACGTATATTTCTATATATTTACAACAATAAGAATATTTTATACTCCTCAAAGCCCCAAAACTCTGCAAACAACAAAGTAATAAAGTGAAAGCAGCAGCAAAACAGTAAGTTAGTCGCCTCCAGCTATAAAAGCTCCAGAGGGGAAGTGATCAGTTACAGGTAGTGTTTGTGTTTGTGTAGAGCTGAAATAAATTTAGCTTCGACTTTTGAACTTCTACACGCGAACATGTTCGAAAGTCACTTCAGTCAGGCTCGAGCTGTGCACGTCAATAAATGAGCAGCCTAACGAAATATTCCTCCCTTCATGCATGACTGAGATCAACGGGCTTCCCTTTGTGACGGCGCGACTGAAGCTTCAGCTAAAATAAAGAACCACGTGTAAATCCAACACAGGCTTAAAGTCCAGTTTGCATTTTGTTGCTACAGACTTAAACTTTAATGGTGTAACTGTGGTTTGTGCTGGATGTTTCAAAGCTTTTATTTTGTAGTGTATTTGCTGATGTTTGCTGAGCTTCAGTTTGAGGCCAGCAGGTGTTTTACACTCTGAGCCCAGTGATCTGCAAACTATGCAAGAGCACAGTTTATTGTTTATTATCATTTATACCAAACGGAAAAGCCCGGGCATGAAATGCAGGTTATTTCAGAGATGGAATAAACATGTCAAGGCCATCCACCCAGTTTTTGCTGCCTACCTGGGTCTAAGCTGAGTTCAGTCACCTCCTCAAGCTCATCTGGTTCTGCCCCGAGGCCTCCTCCCAGCTGTTTGAAGCCTGGTACAAAGTTATCTTGCCCTCTATTAATATTTCCCCCTTCATATCAGTTGTACTCCATATAACTCCCTTCATTAGATTTTACAGTCCCAAAGTTCGATGTGTCTCCCTAAACTGACGGTACTGACTGTAGCTTACAGGCCTCACATCATCTGAGTGAACTGTGTTTATGAAGCATTTTTAATGGAAGCATCAGAGAATTAAATAATTTATCGTATCTTCAATTATTAGTCTGTTATGAGTCTAACTAGCAGAAATCTGTGCCTATTTATATATACGGTTTCCTGGTGTATGGTGTGTTCCATAGTCAGTAGTTGGAGTAGCTAGAACATGTCATGGTGGCTGTGTCCATCTTCTACATACAGTCTATATGCTACACGTGGCTCTTTGTTTTCTCGGAGCTGAATCCTCAGGCTGGGCTTCAAACTGGTGCCAGCAGCATCATCTGAAACAACATGGCAGTGCTGAGTTTGGTCTGTTTTGTGGGTCTGAGGCAGGAAAGACTGCAGGGCTGCTGCTGCTGCTGTGAGGAAAGTTTGAAAAAACACAAATCTGCATTTTTCTTGGTTCAAACAAACGTTTAGCGTCTGATTAAGTCAGCTGAGAGTTTCATGAACCCCGGAGCTTTAAAAAAACACATATTTTTTTCAGGTTCAATTTGTTTTTGCAGATTTATGTTTTTTACTCCAATCGTAGCAAATATATCACAAAACAATATTGCAGAAAGTCACAGCAATTCAGAACAGCCATTTTTCTACTCTACTGAGACTATAATGTCCCCACAGAAGGTAACGGTTAGAGAAGCGCTGTCTTTTAGTTTTTGGTTTCCTCCGGACGCACGCGCATATTCTTCACTCAGAATAAACTAATCGTCTCAGGCGTTTTAAACAAATACTCAGAGACAGAAGGTCCGCTTCTACCAGGCCACGATTCAGAGTATTGTGAACTGCGGACAACAACAAGTTTCACACGTTTGTCTCAGAAACACCACAGCAGATGAGTGGAAGTCAAAGTCTCGTTTCCCTGGAGGTCCTTCAGGTTGTGCGCGTCCAACGGGAGCCTCGCCTGTTTTTTACTCGACCTCTGTTTGAAACCTGTCGGCAGTTAAAAGAGTTTCAGAGTTTCTCACTGAGCTTCTTCTTCTTTTCAGAGCAGCAGCAGGAACCAGCAGCTGTTTGCTTGGAAAGAGGCGCCCGTTGGATTCGACACACATTTTGGTTTAAGTCACGCTACTTTCATTGGCACTGACCTCGCACACGTCTTCCTCACACGCACCCCGACCCAACCCCAGACCGCCAAACATCACAGATCCCTGACCCTGGCTCTGGGAGATCGCCCCGAGGAGCGCCCCTGCAGCAGCGGCCATGTTGTTGCTCAGAGCGGCACTGCTGCTGTTACTCATGCTGCTGTTACCGCCGCCACTTCCTGCGGCTGAGAGGCCGCCGTGCTGCGGGGACAACACTGACGTTCCTCCCCTCGCGCCACCTCCCAGGACGCCTCCCTGCCCACCCTCACCTGCAGACAGGAGGAGGTGGGGGGAGGAAATCAGATCTGGACCATCCTCACCTCCACCTCTCCTCCCTCCGTCGCTGCCGCTTCCACCTTCGCCGCTCTCTCCCAGCCCGCTGCGCCTCTCGCAGTGCGAGCGGTGCCTCATGAAGCTGTCGCGCCACATGAACTTCTTGCCGCAGCCGAGGCAGTCGTACGGCTTCAGGCCCGTGTGCGTCTTCATGTGCTCGGTGAGGTGATGCTTCATCTTGAACTTCTTGGCGCAGACGGGGCAGTGGAAGGGCCGCAGGTCCAGGTGCATGTTAATGTGGCGGTCCCTCATGCTCTTGTGGGTGAACGTCTTCCCGCAGTGACACATGAACACTTTCCCTGAACCCCCAGAGCCGCCGCCACTGTTGCCGCCTCCGCCTCCGATTCCTCCGCTCTCTGCGCCATCCACCCCCAAACCACCCTGCACTGACAGGTGGACCGCACCGTGCTCCATACTGGGACCTTTGAAGGACGACCCTCCGATCATACCGCCTGCCATCCCCAGAGGCGGCGCGCTAGCATCCAGCGGGAGTCCGGAGGCCTGGCTGTACAGCAGGATCTGGTTTCCCTGCATGTCCAGTGGGAAGAGCTGAGCCCGGGCCGAGGCTGCAGACTGAACCTGACCCAGCAGCGCCGAAACCGCCCGGTTAGCGTTCTGGTTCTGACCTGCAGCGCCGTCGTGAAGGTGTTGCACTAAAGTTTGGTCCATGAGACTTCCTTCAAACTTGAGGTAGTCCTCTGAAGACTGGCAGTAGTCGACCTACACACAGGGAAACATATTAGAGGTTACGATTATATAAAAATATCTATCAATCAAGTTTATTTGTAGAGCAGATGCACAAATCAAGAAAGTTTTCTGTTAAAAATTTGGTTTTTTACACATTCTGGTTGCTGTAACTTATTTCAACTAAAGATAGAAATTTCTAAGTTAGAAATTCTTTGTGTGACGTTTTAGCGCCCTCTACTGGTCATATGCAAAACCACCACAGCACCAGCTTACAACAGGTCTGCGTCATTATTTCTACAAAGCAAACCTCCCCTCAGCTACTGTCAGGATAATTAAAGCTGTAATCTGATTACACTACAGTTCCAGCTCACCTGTGACTCCATATCGTTCTCCGCTCTGCCCCCGAGCTCGCCTGAAAGGCTCCTGACGTTTGAGATGTTGAAGTTGCTCCTTTCCCGCTCTCGTGCCAGCTCCATCTCCCTCTCATCCTCATCCTCCTCGTCTTCTCCTCCTTCCTCCCCGGAGACCACGATCAGGTCGTCATCCTCTCTCCGTTCGGTTTTCACCACCACCCACTGCTTGCGAGGCATGATGCTGGGCTGGCTGTAGGTGGGACGCTTCTGCAGCGGCAACGCAGAGTCCTCTCCGTCCTTTTATTGAGATATTTCACATTATGTACAGAAAACACAGGATACAAACAAACAAACTGTAAACACTAACTCGATTATTAAAGTTCAACTTTTCTTTCAAAATAAAAGCTCTTCATACAAATTAAAGGTCGACTATCTTCAGGTTGCTCAGACCTCACCTGATAGGATGAAACCCCAAAGCTGTCGCTGACCCCGACCTCCTGCTCTGACACTGAGCTCATCTTCTTCCTCCTCCCGCTGCCTCCTCCTCCTGTGCTTCCTCGTTTCCTTTGATGGTACAGCACCTCCTCCTCTTCCTCCTCGGCTTCCTCTTCCTCCTCAATAAGGAAGGCTTCTTCGCCTCCTGATGGAGTGCAGTAGCTGGGGGTGTTGTTAGCCCCGCCTCCATCTCCAGAAGCTCCCGTTGCAGCCGCGCCACCTCCCCCAAAGCTGCTCCCATCCCTGGGGCTGAAGTAGTTGGTGCTGCTGGGTGATTGGCTCTCGCTCACCGACGGGCGGCTGGGAGGCTGGGAGGCTCGCGGGGGCTCGTTAGACTCAACAACCTGGACTTGACCAACACTTCCAGCACCAGCAGCTCCATTACCACCACCTGCTCCACCGTCACCATTGCTGCTGCTACAGCCAGAGTTGGCTGATCCTCCAGCTCCACTTATTCCATCCTGCACAGCCCCACCTCCTCCACCTCCGCCGCTCCCTCCTGCCGCCGCGGCTCGGCCCTCCTTCAGTAGCTCCGTGCATTTGTCCACAATGTGCCACATCTGCAGGACGCTGCCCACTGTGAGGTAGTTGACGATGTCATCGCGGAGCATCTGGAGCTGACCCGTGTAGGCGCAGCTCAGCACGCTCTCAAACGCCAGCGGGTCCATCACTGCCGGGATGGAGACCGTGGACATGTTCTTCAGTAGTACCTGGAGGCGGATGGAGATCACAACATCACAGTAATGAAGCTTTTTCATTTTGTAACGATCCCTCCTGCCTCCTCCTCCTCTCCCTCATCACACTGCAACATTACCCACATGGTCAGAGTCCAGCTCCAAGTGATTTTCTGGTGTACACAGACAGTAAATCTGTCTGCCAGCCCCTCAGACAGGTAACAGGGGTCTGATGAAACCTCCCACCAGTTTCACTAAGCAGATATTTGGCAGATGACTGAGGCTCTCTCGAAAACCAATTATTACAGCATAAAAAAGCACAAGTAACGTGTTTGTGTGAGGCTGCTGTCACACAGTAGGTCTTTATTATCTTCTAACTCTGAGCTCCCATATAATTAACCTGCGTGACTGTTCACATCTATTCTGTCTCGCCTCGTTTATTCTGTTTTTCTGAGGTAGAAATAAGAAGCGGCAGATGGCTTCAAACCCAGATTCACATTTTATGTCTCACAGATCTTGTGTTAGCAGAGAAAACTGGGAGAAAATGCAAACAAGCTGCTGATTACACAACCGACTGAAAATATCTGTAAGACCAACTAATCCTGTCACCTGTCTGTCTTTCTATAGGCAATCTAATGTTCTAAAGTTTTGCTCAGGCACAAACTGCGACAGCTATTCTTGTCTGACGCTAATAAAGATCCAAGGCTGAGTGAGAGTCAGTGTGTTCATCCACCTGGTCGTGGAAGTAAGGCGAGGACGCAGCCAGGACGCAGCGGTGGGCCTTGAACACTTGTCCCTGGACATGGATGGAGAGGTCGCAGAGGCTGCCGTCCTCTCTCTGCCGGTTCAGGCTGTCCAGCACCGAGGTCTGAGCGCCGGGGAAGCAAACCTGAACCACTGAGCCGCTGCCGCTGCTGCTTCCCACCTCCATGGGCACAGACTGCATCTGTGAGGAAGAAAAACCTTCATGACTCCCACAGCCGGAGGTTAAACTCTGACTTTAGATTCATGGCAGTCCTTCCTGGTTTGTTACTGCTGACTGGCAGGTTGTGGCTTTAAATCTGAGGCTTTAAATTACATGAATAGTGAATCTATTCAAGTATGGAGGAAGCTCTTTGAATGGGTCACATGACTGCACCTCTCAGGTAATTAGGTATCAAATAAAATATCATGTTAAGAAAAACGGCTGTTTTATTTATGAAAACAACCGTGACCGCAGTTTGCAGTTTATTGGGTTACTGGGTTGTTGGAACTAGAGCGGGACAACAGCCCTGCAACAAATCTCCACCTCGCTCACGGCAGAGGGTTCAGATCTTTCTATAAAACGTTTGCAGCTGTGCTGAAACAATCAACAGTTATTTTCCATTTAAACAAATCTTTTTTTTTTAAATTTAGTTTCTTTCATTTTAATAAATATATAAAGAGAAGAGATTGAAACTTCAAATAATTACAAAACAATTACAGAAAAGCTGAAAATCCTCAGAGTGGAAACATAATTTTAGCTGTCTCTTTAAAATTACACAAAATTAATGATTAAATAATCGTTACTGATGTAATTTCTGTCAATCAGCTAATCAACTAATCGCCGAATCTCTGATTAAATTTATGATAATTTTAGAGGTGAAGGGCTTTAAACTCAACTATGCTGGATTTCAAACAAAGTGCATCACAGAGGAATGTGACTGTAGGCAATATAAATGTAAACTTGAAGATATTTATCAGTAATTAAGGTAAACTAAGTAACATGTGATAAAACTTGTAACCTTTATAAAAGTTTTGGTAAACATATTTATGGAAAATTTAAGGAATGACTGCAGACTCACTGATGGTGCTTATACAGCTCAGAGTAACGCTGGTGCAGTCTTACATCATCACCTACACCTGTCAGTCTTTTCTGATGTAATGATATGTAGGGAGGTTATTTAAATAATTACTATAAATTTAACGGTGACGCACTTTCTTTGAACATCAGAAGTAATATTTTCCTTTAATCTGACCTTTTCATTCCAAAATTAATTACATTTAAATAAATTAAATGGAAAAAAATAATGTTACCTGAAAACTCAAAGCTATATGTTTCAGTTAAAATAGTTTAAGTTTATATATATAATCATGTTGAACTCATTGATGATGACAGAGGCAGAGAAACTGACTTCATTAGAGATGTTAATGCTCTGAAAGGATTTGAATTTTACCTCAGAAACACTGGAAATCTGTCCCGTCATTAAGGAAGCAGATAGCCTCAGTTAGAAGACAGTGACAGCCTGATTTTATCCGCCTGTCTGTGAGCCTGACATCACTGACAGGCTGCACATCACACACAAACTAAACTTTATTAATCCCAAAAGTTACAGCAGCCAAAAACCATCAACACAACCTCTGACAGAAGAACTGCAACCAGAACAGCTCAGTAACATAAACACGATTAAAACCAAAACCAGAACAAGTTAAAAACACACAAAAAAATCAAAAAGTGAAATAAAAATAAATACTAGAGTTCAATAACAAACCTAAACGCCCAGTTATAATCAGCTGCTCAGTTTATGCAGCACATCAAATATTTACTGTAGTTATGACAGCTGACATCATCGGTGTCATTCTGAACTTCACATTAAACTGGAGCAGCACATCTGTGCAGAGCCTCCTTCATTAAACTCATTAATTAATCATCAGAAACCCGCACAGTCCACGCCGGACATAACCGGCAGACTTTATGGGGAGAAAAAAATCAACAGCTGGACTGCACACTTTAACTTTACCGCTACAAAAGCGAAGCTGCTGGTTGGAAATGCAGCTGTGCTCGCGGTGCAGATGTTTTTTCCCCGGTGGCGGTGTTCTCCGTTCAGACGGACAAACGGCGGCATCTGGAAAACCGTCAGAGCTCCGGTCTCCAATCACAGCCGCACAGATGTGACGTTAGCCTGCTAGCTAGCCCCGTCGGGCCGCCGCCGACGTTAAACTCACCGTTTTCAGTTGACACCTGAGCCCGTTACAGTCCGGCCTCTGACCGAGCGGAGGGCGGCGGGTCCTGCCGGTTCATCCAGGCCCTGAAGTTTGGGGAGCATTTTTGAGAAAAAGCTCCTCGCAGCTGATCTCCGCAGCAGCAGACAGCCACACGTCGCCTTTAAGAGCGACCCAGACAGACGAGCCAGACTTTGGCCGACACAAAATAAACTAAAAAAAAAAAGCCTGAAAACACTCAAACATGCTGCTCATACATCACTCCTGCTGAAAACTACCGTGTTACAAACAAACAACTATATCTGACTGCAGGCTGGGTTTAAACTTTAACTATTTAAATACAACACAGAAGAAACTTTAAAAACATTAAGGTTCATTTGAAAGAAAATAAGAATATGAAGTTCAAATTTACATTTTGTACTGGACACCGAGGAAACCTTAGCCCTTACATATACTTCTGTCGTGCCTTCACAGTATGGACCAGGACACGAATTAGATCATGATTTAAAATTGATAATTTAATATTTAAAATGTATAAATAGCTCACCTATCTAATAAATGGATGATTAATCATATATAACTTCATATAATCATTACAAACGTTATACATCATTAAAAAAAAAAAATCCTCATAGTTAACATTTACAAATATTAATACTGAAGATTACAAAGATCAACATTAAGACCAGTCTGCATTCAAAGCAGTGATAGAAAATAGTGTGGGGCATTTCCCCACACTCCCTGAAATGGCATCCAAGATGCCTTCATAACTTTAAGAAAAGGAAAGAAAAAAGGCAATAAAATGCAACAGCCTTTAAATTTGGTTTTATTTGTAAAGTAGATGTCATAGCATACATGTTAAATAAACATTTAATTAATACATACTAATGATATGGCATCCAAGGAAATGGGTAAAAGAAAACTAAAAATCAGTAAGTGATGTAGACTTGTAAAATAGCCATTATACAGTATATACAAACATAATCTAACATTGGTGAAAACACTCAATGTTACTGTCATTCACTTCCAACAGCAGGTAAACACAAGAGTTACATTAGAAACTGACTAATGTCTGAGTTTACCGCTCACTTCATGCTAAAACAGCTGAAAGAGGAGAAAAAAAGAAAAAGAAAAAAAAAACAGCCCACTTAAAACTCTTAAATGTGTTAAATCTGGAGTGAAAAAATTTTTTTTTTTCCTTTTTATTGAAATGCACAGCAACTCCTTTTGTGGTGAAGCTAGCATTACTACACACAAGTACAGATATATGGAAGGTTTGAAGCATATTAGATTCAGACAAGTTGTTTGAAGTACTAATTAGAAGAAATGACATTTTGAACCTGAGATGAACCTAAAAAGTAGAAAACTCAGGATTTTTAAAAAAATAATTTCTACTTTTTGTTTGCAGTCGCTGTCCCGATGACGCAGTCGTTCACCTGCGGGGGAGAAAACAAAACAAAATTGTCAAAAATGTTAAAGTTACAGTGAAACTTCAAATCCTTGTACACTTCAGTGGTATTTATACTGTAAACCTAATCCCTATGCTGTAAACTGGCATGTAACTCTAGGAATCACTCATTTCATCCACTTTTGCCACATTAATTAAAAGAAAAAATGAAATAAATGAATCGATTAGCTCAAAGAAATTCCACTGCAGACGAGTGTTTGTGGTTAAACTGCAAAGCAAGCCACGCACATGGTGCAGGCCACTTCTGTGGGCTCTATCAGGGATTTATGTGACTAGTCGACTAATTGTCACTAGTCTGTATCAGACTTACCAGTCGTTCAATCTAATTGTTAAAATTTTAATTGATGCCCAATGCTGGTACATTGTGTTCTAAATGTTAGGCAGCGACCTGCCACCAGATGGCGCACTGTTGTTGAGAAACACCATAAATCTATTAATCTACCCTGATCTTCTTGTTAACACTGAGATCGCAGATACACGCAGAGGAAATTAGTTTTCTCAAAGGTGGAAAACCTCTCCTTTAGGAGAGCAGTTAAGTCAATGGGAGAGGGGCTCAGAGTAGAGTCACTACTCCTTCACATCAAAAGGTGACAGCCACCTGGGCAAGGTGTTCCAGCTGGGCACGTCCTACCAGGAGGAGGCCCCAGCATCCTTGGTCATGCTAGCCAGTTTACATCTATCAGCTGTGGTCAGGAGTGGTCCTTCCTGCTGCCCCCACAACCTGACTAGAAAGCGGCTGTATAATGTATTACTTTGTTACTAAATTTCTGCTTCTATTGAAAAGGTTGTCATTAATTTTCAGCAGCCTGAATCATTCGCGCCACACTCAGTCGTACTTTTAGATTCTCAAATGATTGTCATATTTTAATAGAACATCTTTTGTAGTAACGCATTTTCATTTGTATTTAACAGAATGTGATAAATGGATAAGATACATCTGCGTCTAGTTTGACAGTTTCTATTAATCAGTTCTGAAAATTAACTCAATATCTGAATGTTCCTTAGTTTTACTTTAGTTGGTTAGTCTAATTATTTCCCCCTCGATTAGTCGACTAGTAAATAAGACGCCAGGAACATCCCTACTCTTCAGACAAAATGTGAATATGAATTACACATAGGGCTGCTCGATTATGGCAAAAATGATAATCACGATTATTTTCACTGAAATTGAGATCACGATTATTTGACGATATTTATTTAACCCTTTAAGACCTACTATAGAACCAAGTCCACCAGAGCTTATATTATTTTTTTTACATGCTGTAGTGCCATTTGTGGGAGCATTTCAAGTTGCTATACATCAATACAACTGTTATAGCCCATATTTTAATAATATGTATGCATTAAGTCCATAGTAATTACATAAATTGCAAAAAAGTGCAATAAACTACAAAAAAAATTGAAAATCGCTTTTGTTTTGTTTACATATATTTCTACTTGGAGAAGTTTAAGAGGCTTATCCCTCAAAACTTTAAATACAATAAAGTTGCAAAAAATAGTTTACAACAACAGGACATTTATTTTGAGTGTCTTCATAGTTTTATTTTGGAGATACAGCAATTTTTATATACTGCAGGAAAAACAAAAAACAATCCTATGATGCAGATTTGCAAAGAAAACAGCATGTGCATCATTTCACTGTGGGAAGTGTTACGAACAGCTGATAGGAACGGCAAAGCCTGTTTCTGGAATATTATGTTTTTGTTCCTGCAAGCGCTTTTTATGCAATTTTTGCAAAGCTATATGTGGAACGAAACCGTGACCGAGGACAAGCTGATGGCATAAGATGTAAGTACAACTCCTCCGGTTTCATATGCAAAACAAATTATTGCGCTAGCTTACACGGTTCAGATTCTACAGGGATTTAAAAATAGTTACGCAAAACGGAGCATGCAGCTCTGACCGGCTTTAAAGGGTTAACAATGACTTTAAAAAAATAATATAAAATAGTGTGCAACGCCACTGAAGTTTTTTTTTTTTAAACTCTCTTTTCAACCAACGGCAGTCACTCTCCAAATAACTTCTGCTTAGCTTTCCGAGCTTCCCTCGGGTCCTCTTAATCAGCGGTCTCCAACCTTTTTTGCGCCACGGATGGTTTATGCCCGACAATATTTTCACGGAACGGCCTTTAAGGTGTCGCGGATAAATTAGGGAGGGGCTAATAATCGGCTCAGTCATTTTTAATGATCGTTGAAAGCCCAGATCGTAATCGTGATTAAAATTCGATTAATTGAGCAGCCCTAATTACACACCAAGGTATTAAAATGGATATGGAGTATGGCTTTGGTTTACCATAAACAGCTAATGTAAGGACATCATTAATGTACTCTGTCCAATGAACACTGGAAACAAGACTGCACTGACCTTGCTGGCAAACCTCAATGAGTTTAGAGTTTCCCCAAAGCTGTCGGGCTCCGGGGCGATGTTAACAAACATCAAGCTGCAGATAAAGACATCCAAAATTAGCGCCAAAGAATAAACAGTCACAATCTGAAGTGATGGGATCAAACTCTGTTAAATATTTATTGGGGATAAATTCCTTCAGTTTTATGTATCGTCATTATAAAGATTTGTGATGTCAACAAACTCACGTTTTGCTGTTCCCCCCCAAACATCCCTGCAGGAGGTAGGTGAGCTTCGAGTTCCTGTAGGGAACGTAACTCTCCTGAAACACAAAGGCCAAAAAAATCATTAATACTGTAAACGTAAAGAAAGCAGGTGTGACATCTAAGACTACAGAAACTGCAGCTGCAGACCTTGTTGGCCAGAGCGGCGATAACGATGCCCAGGTTGGACAGCGAGCCGTTGATGGCGGTCATCTCTTTGAAACGGTCACCCTGAGACTGGCTCTTCACCATTCGCTCACTGCCAGCCAAGTCCACCAGGCACAGAGTGGCTACATCAGAGCAGATTTTGCACTGGTTACAGTAACAATAACTAACCAGACTCAATATTATAGATCCAAAAAGAAGAAACCACATTCCTGATGCTGGTACTTCCAGTGGGATTATACTCACATTTGCACTTGACATCCCTGCCGGCATTAACTCCCTCAATATCCAGCTGGAAGACTGAGTGGGAGCGAGACGAGCGGTCATTCTGGGCTGTCTGGGCAGTGGAGCGATTCTGATTGGCCAAAGCAATGAGACCGAGAACCTGAGAGGACGAGGGGACGTTTTAAAACACATAGAGCACTGATAAAAGTTTGGTAACAATTTGTCAGCCGATTTGAAATTAATTTTGTTCTGAGCTACAGATGTCTGTCTGCTGTACCTGATCCTCATTGGAGACCCGCTCATAAGTGAGATTAGTGATTGTCACTTCGTTGCTGGTTGTCTTGCGGATCTCATGCTCCGGTCTCTTGCTGGACTTGCCGGTGTACAGAAGGTCCCTCAGGGTCTCATTGTAAATTTCAACAAAGCTTGCTGTGAACGTGAACTGAAATAAAAACTAAAATGAGCACATTCCCACATAAAAGCACCGCGAGGGCACACAGCAGACTGCAGTGTGAAAGCCCTCTGACGCTGAGGAGCAGAAGCAATTTAACACTAATGTGAGACTTTTGTGGATAAAAAGAAAAGCACAACATTAACAGTGCGGCAGATTAATCATAAAAGCTCCACTCATCTGTATGCTCAAAATCATCTTTGGTGCTTAAGGAAATATGGCCGACTGTGGTAGAAAAGCAGTCTGGTCTTAGATGAACAACCTGTAACACTTACTACTCAAGTCTTTCAGATAGTCTGCAGTTTAAAAGCTGCTGCTCTACCACCGTGTAAAGCTGCTACCACTGACCTTCTCTTCAGACATTCAAACACAAACCAAACCAACCTCCCAGCCTTGTTCTCCCAGTTTTCCTGCAGCTTTAAAGATCTGTTGCACAGCTCTGGGAATGACACCTCTGGTCTCGTCAACCTCGTCCCCCTCCATGGTGTACGTCTTCCCGCTGCCGGTCTGACCGTAGGCAAAGCAGCAGACATTGTAGCCGTCCAGTGCTGACTGCACCAGCAGTGAGATCTCCTCAAAGACCTGAAGATAAAGACAAATTTATACATTTCCTCCACGCACAGGCGGGGACCACAAAATGAAAAACAGTTTATTCTTTGATATACTGTAAAATGTGATATTCACCTCCTGCTGGGAGGCCCGAGGACCAAACACACGGTCGAAGCTGAAGTTGTAATTCTTCTGAGTGTCAGCAGTTTTGCCCGTGTGAGACTGAAAAGCACAAAAACTCAGTTCAGTTGGTTGTTTGTGCTTCCTCTTTGGGTTAGGGTTCATCTACGCTGACACTGAATTACACGTGTTAACTCACACAGAACTCAAATTCTCTGCAGCCAACAGTTTCTTTAAACATGCGTTAAGCGGTCCTCATTCTTACCTCCTCGGTTTTAGCCAGCGTTATCGCTTTATTGTCGCTTGTGGCGAGTTGTACATGTTTGGGAAGGCCTCCACCTACCAGAGGACGCACTCTGCAGAACACTCTGATATTACCCTGCAAGAGATACAAGAGTGAGACTGAAACTTAATATTTTATTGGTTGCAGCAAAATCCGAAGGATGATTGGACAAATGTGACCAGCACACACCAAAAACAACCAAAGAACAGAGAAAACATTCACATTTTGTGCACATGAAGAGGCACTTTTATTGGTAACAGAGGCAAACTTGCCTTGAGCTCTTGTATGGTGTTGTGGAGCCGTCTGCGCTCCATCTCTCCAGCGTAAAGTTCATCCTTCTGCTGGGCCACAGTTTCTTTCAGAGACCGAACCTCCTCCTCGAAGTCTCTGAGGTTTACCTGCACACGGGCCAGAGTCGACTCCTGCACAGAGAGCTTCATCTGGAGCAGAAAGAACAAATGATATTAAGGTTTGGCAGGTCAGCCCATCTGTACGTTTATCTAGTGATAATAAACAAGCACGGCCATTCTCAGCTGCTGTTCAGTCAATCTTTTACCTTCAGAGTCTGCAGCTCCGTCTCTTGGCTGTCTCGGAGAGTCTCCATCACTCTGTATTTCCCCTCCACGTTGGTGAGCTCCTTCTGAAGAAAGTTCTTGTCACTCAAGACTTTCTCCAGCTCATCCTGGACTCCTGCCAACACCTGCAGCTTCCTCTCATACTCTAAAAATCCCAGAAGATAAAAGCAAAGTCAAGTTGTCAATAGTTAACACGACAATTTCAGGAGTAAAATTCCTAACTGAACGTTTATTTTCCAAATGAAATAGTCCTCATACCCGATCTGGCTCCTCTGTATCTGAAGCTCCTTCTCCACTTGCACAATTTTTCTTTGGCTCTGGGACACAGAGTCTTGGAGAACCTCATTTTGCTGATTCAGAGTCTTAACTTTTATTTGGTAGTTACGGACCATGTCGCTGACCTTGCCCTTCAGATCGCAAGGTTTTAGCTTTTGTGTTCCACCTGTACACAAACGCAACATTTTCAATTTGGTTTTTTTTGGTATGTTAAGAAAAACTATTCTACAGAAGCAACCTTTAAACTTCAACTTCCATTTAGGTGCTTCATGCTTATGGTCGTGTTTGCACAAACTCACTCAGAATCGTGGCTTATTTCAATGTACTGGGTCACTTTTTTCACACTTTGAAACATTTTCAAAAGCATTTAAAATTTATGGAGGGTTATTAACAAATCAAAGCCCCAAAATATAAACGTTTAGTTGTCAGAAGAAAAGAAATGAGCAGAATTCATTTCTCACCTGTTTTTGTGCCGGTGGATGCAACGGGTTGTTTCATGTTGCCTCCCTTTGATGTAGTTGAAGCTACAGACTGCTTAATGACACCTAAACAGTAAATAGATGCATTAAATGATCACATGTTCATCTGGGACCAAACTACGTACAAGATATGACATTGTCCATGAACAAATTTAATTAAACTTTAAAACTGCTTAATCACTGCTCCAGATGAAGGTTTGTGACCACAGTGTCTAAAGTCCTGCCACATATTTAGCATTTCTTACCTCTAGACGGAGCCGCAGCTACAGTGGCAGCTCCTACAGCTCTAAGAGGCCTAGCTGTGTTGGAGAGAGTGAAACAAAAAGGACATTTTTATCAAAATGACAAGAGGACAGAAGCACAATATACAATGTGAAAACGTGTTTTACTCAATGATTTTTTTAAATAAAGTTAATGCAGTTTTAGTTTTTGACTGGTTTAGTTTGGGGACAGCCTTTTAATGAAGTGCTTTACTGAGATAAAGTAGTTCTCTGACATAAACCAATGTAGTTTGGAGTAAAACAAAAAGATTTCAACACTCAGGATTGAGACGTTACTTACAGATAGGTGCTCGGGTTGCTGCGAGAGCAGGTCGCTTGGTACCAATGACCGTAGCCGCTGGTTTAACCGGATCTGCATCCTTACGGAGTCTCTTCTGCAAAACAAAAGACACCATTAGCATACAGTGAGAACAAACCTGAGTCTTGCGCAGGTTTTCAGCTGTGGTTTACTAGCCTTCTAAGATACCTGCATGTGCATGTGAGGATGACTCACCTCCAGCAAAAATTAAACTCACAAATACTTAACAGTAATCTAAAAGTCAGACAGTAGCAGTAAAAAGGTAAACAGAAGGGTTTACACAAACCTGTGCAGGTGCCAAGTCCTGGGCATTCTCCGCGAGTACCCTCTTACTTGACATTACTGGCAGGCGGGACATGCTCTGTTGTGGGCTAAGAGGTGAATTATTGTTAAAACGGATACAAAGAAAAAAAAAAAAAACTTGTTTCATCATCATGAACAGCCACAGATTGAGTATATAAACCATTATTCTTAAATTGGGCCTTTAGTGGTTGACTACAGCTGTATGCAAGGCAGATCTGTATATAGTAATGGCAGAAATCTGCCTTTTCACACATTTTTTAAACCCTGTCATGATATTTAAGTTGCACTTTTGTTTTTTCCTAATAATAAAACCAAAAGAAATGTTTTCCTCACTTCAAAGCTGTACTGCCACTCAATAAATCATTTTGCGTTTAAAACCCACTCGACATTTTAACACTCTGTCCTCTGTAGTAGTAATCCTTCGTCAAAGGAGCTTGCAAAGAAAAGCGTCTGGACTTCTTTAAGTTCTTCTTCGTGTTACCCGAGTTGCAGTTGTATTTACCATTAAGCACACCAAGAACAACAACAGTCACTTGCATATCATGTGCCACATTTATTTTGACCAGACAGTAACAACGTGGTAAAGCCAGGTTTTATTAAGTAGCTGTTAAAATAACGTTGGCGTCTCCGATGAGACTTGGGTGTACTAGTAACCAATACAATGGAGACAAACTAGGGTGTTGCACGGTGATCCACACCTGCTTGGACATAACACTCATATAAAAGTGCCTGCTAATAATGAAAATCAATCACACGAAAACGTAATATTTACGTTTACAGTGAAAATCACACGATTTAGCGTTAACTCAACTCAGATAAACTTTTAATAGACCCCTATAACAGAGGTCCGACTTTAGTAACTTACCGAGTATGATGTGAGCCTAAACAAAGCCACTGTGTCCACAGTTTTTAGCATTTACATTAAAAAAAACGTAACTTGCGTAATTATCGAGTTAAACCAAGATAGAAAATCTTACTGGGACACGCTAATTTTTAAATCAGCTTCGATTAAATTACATAAAGACATCACCGACACTAAACCCGTTCGTATGATCGCTAACGTTGACGGCAGATACCCTTAGTACGAAAAGGAACTTCTACATTAAATTACAAAACTTTGCTCTTACGGTTTAAGTCGAGTTCCGCAACACAAACTGCAGATTAAAACACACACTTCACTGTAATATATGAAACAATTACCTTATAAACAATTTCCGTGTCCGCGGGATCTCCGTCCTCGACCGTTTAAATTTGAATTGAACTACCTTGGTGAGCGTCTTGCCGTGATTGGCCGAGATAGCCCGAACCCCGCCCCGTACGTGTGTATGCGTGTTTTGTCTTTCGGAGTTTTCTGCTTGGGCGGGATATACCCTGTTTGAATACTTGTCTCCAGTGCTAAAGGCCAAATTCTAACTGACTTATGATCAAACGAAACAATTAAAAAAAAAGTCGTATAATTTTAGTATATACGAATCGCTTTCTTTTTCAAGTACATTAATTAAATATATATATAATTGTTATAATCAATTTTTTTTAGCTACATTGTTCAAAATAAACATCGTACGGTGGCCCGGAGGTGCAAAAGGCAACTGTTTGGGGGAAAAACGCGCATTGACTTATATTCTTATCATTTCTATTCCAAAGCTTAAAACACAGCTTAAAACGCCTGAAAGAAGTAGTGTAAAACATTAAATTACATGCTTTGATATGGTTTGCTATGTTTACAGAAATATAATCTGTTCTTTTTAATTGTTTTGATAAATAATTGTTATGACAGAAACCTTTGGACTGCTTCTGGTAAGACACACGTACACTCTATAAAAATCCATGTGCAGTTTGTATATGCTTTCCTAGCGAAAGCATTGTTTTTCTATAAATGGAGCTAAAAGAAACACATCACGTTGTAGGTCTTGGTGTAGACAGTCTTCTAAGCATGTGAATCCTTTTCATACCATTGCTAAGCCTTTGCAGCATAGTCCACTGCAATTTCCAAACCACGTGGGGATGGTAGAATCACAGATTCCCTGAACCTGAATCAAAAATTCACCTTCATTAGTTTTGAGAAAAATACCCCCTGATCTTTACCCTGGGTATCTAGGATACACTGACCACGTGGAGCTACATGCTGTAGCAAAAGAGCAGCCAAAACTTTCATTATAAATGTTCATTAATAATATGTACTGTTGATTTTAATAAAATACCAATAAAAAATGTAGTGCTTTCATCATAAACAGGTTTTGAACTTTATTCTCCATAAGGGAAGAAACAGTCTGTTCAGATGAGCAAGAGGTGTAACTGTGCATACAGTATGAAGAGTGTAGCATAAGAGGGCAGTTAACTGTATTATCAGGAGCATTGGTAATAACATTAACAAGAATATTGAGAATGGGTTATTTCTCATAAAAAGACACAATGAAATACAAGGAGTATACATGGAGACAATCAGCCGTCTGTATGGGCATCCTGAACATTTCTGATTGGTTAGAGACGGCGTGTGCGGTGTCCCAGGTCACCAAGGTCACAGCTTCTCATAATCATGCTTTAATTATTTGCAGATGTATCATGGATACGTTAGCTTTAAATATCATATGGTTACAGTATTAACATGGTTCTCTGAGTAATTGAGACCATTTTTTCCCATAAGTTCAGGAATCAATCCCCAACAGTAAACTTAGCACAACACCTGTACAGATGTGGAATTACATATTTTAGCCAAACTGCACCTCTGGGAAGCCTCAGTGGTCCCTGTTTATAATGTATTAGGGATCCACCAATATTGGTACATATTCACCATCAATGTCACTGGGATACTGATAAATATAAGATTTGGCTAATTATCTGTTGTGTTACAATTATATGACTGAGTAATTGGGAATGGGAATAATTTAGGAGACTTGAGAATGCCATTTTAGCTCATTGATAATTAAGTTTTTTTCATTTCCTTAGTACAAAACTTGTTACTTTAAAAATCTGTATAAATTCATCCACACTGTTGCCCCAATTTCCATTAGTCCAGGGAACAATACTCAAGTCCTGCCCTACAGTGAACCTATATAACAAAAGCATAAATGTGGAATTACAGATAGTTTTACCAAAGTGCTTCCCTTATGCCCAAAAATATTTTAAATGACTAATTAAAGTCCCTGCTAATTTTCTTCTTGCATTTCACTGATATTGGTACGATATCTGCGCCGTTGCCTGCCATTGGGATTAAGTTATGAGGACAGACTTTAGAAAAGTATTTATATGATTTAAAAGGCAGAGCTTTAGAGTTCACTGACATCAAAAGGGAACAAATAGATACATCCTAATTCTTTGCCTAATTATCACACATGAGGTTTAGTTGACTCATCTCTGGTTACGTCCTAATTAAGATCAGTTTCACAGTCTGTAGATGGTGGCTGTGGTTGTGATAAAGGAAACAATTATTCTCCTGTCATTTCCTCACTTTGCTGAGCGTGACGATCTCACAGCCCGTCAGCTTTAAAGTTGACCTGGGACACTGCCAGTGATTTGGTACATGTTAATTTGATTTCCTTTAGTTTTCATAGATGCTTTACACAAGACATACTTCCCTTTTACAGATGAAAAAGTCTTTTCTATGTATTTTATGTACAGCATACTGCAATATCATAATGCCTCAGATTGATAATAATGTGGATAACATTTGCAATACAGTTATAATGGAAGTAGTAATAATATGTATGAAAAGTTCTTTAAAAAAAAAGAGATTAATAACAGTACCTGTCAGCCATTTTCATCACACAATCATTATTTTCCCAACAACCATCCTGACAATAACAAACTGGGCTGCCTTAGTCATTCGAAGACAGTAAACAGTTGAATAGCAACAAAAAAAAAGGAAAAAAAAGGGACCAAGACGTTCTGTTAGGACTTTTCTCTCTGTTCCATCACATTCATGCGCTCACGTTGCTTTCTGTTTGATCACACATTTCTCTGTTGGTAGAAAAATACATACATATGATATATAAAAAAAAGGTAAAGGATGAAAAACATAGGCGTGAAGTAAGTTTCATCAAGTGCTTTCGTTATGACCCCTCCCACCCCCGTTTTTCTCTCTTTCTGTCGTGGTTCCTGCTGTGGACTCCTTACATTTAGTGCATTCTCTGACCGATCGCGCTATCTTATTTAATACTTTGGGAAATGTTTCCTCGCTCCTCTGAGAGGAGGTGGGTGTAAATAAGGACATCATGATCTGTGAAATGTACACTTTTGAGATTCGGCTGCAGGCTTTAGCGAGACTTCCCAAACGCACGCTTCATTTTTCTTCCTGCTGCTCTTTCCTTTGTAGCTCCAATTCAGTGTTTCTGATGTAGTCTGTGACACCTGACTGTGCCTTTCAGATGCTGTTTAAACATTTCTGCACCGCTGCTTCAGATGCTCTCATGAATCTCTACAGTCTCCCATCATTCACTCCTTTTTTGTTTTGGCTTGAACTAATAAGTGATGAATGTTCAGATTAATGTGATCTGAATGTCTTCAACATTTACACTATTCTTTGGACCATAACTGCTCAAAGAATAGTGAAATTAGTTTTTTTAATTTTACAGATATTTTACACCTTTATCCTCCAAAGATCCCTCAGTCAGGACTGAGAGATACATGGCAAGTGGGCTCAGGAATCAAGAAGCACACTGTAAAATATCTGTGTAAGTAATTTATGGTTGTACTCAGCATCAAAGCTTCTTAAGTGGGTGAATTCAAATTTACTTCTATCCATGATTGTATTGCATTACCCGACTAACCGCTTTTAAAAAATAATCTCACTGAAAGCTACAGAAGTCTAAACTGAAAACACTAGTGTTTTTACACTTTCAAATTCAGTGATGTGTCAATAAAATAGAAGATCTGAATTATAGAAATTCACCCAATCAGCTGTTTTTCCCCTGATTTTAAGAAGGCTCTAATACTGAATACAGTTAAATTACTTGTACATATGGACCATTTTTACTCGACTAATCCCTCGAGCAGAGCAGGAAGACGCAGCCTATGAGTTCATGTGCTCCACCTGTATGGCTGATGTGGAGACGGTTAGGCAGAGGTCTTTGTGGGTCACTGGCAGGTCTGCCACAGTGACTGGTTTGTACTGGATCTCGCTGGCTGACACTGTCTTGTACTGGTGTAGATCAAATGGGCAGGGGACCACAGATTCTGTGGGTTGCTGTTGTGGCTGGTAGCTGCCTGGGGGTCCGGGGTTTGGGTTCTGGTTGTTGTTAGGGTTCGTCTGGTTTTGGAGCTGGCTCGCTCTGCCCGCACCTCTCCCTCGACCGCGGCCTCGGCCCCTGCCTGGTGTCAGACCCTGGGCCTGCTGAGCAGCTACTGTTGCTGCCACTGTTAATGGGTCGGGGTTGTGCTTCTTCATGTGTTTCATTAGATACGTCTCCTGGAGAACGGATGACAGAAGTAGAACACATGATGTCAGGAAAGAAAAACAGGAACAATGTGTTTTGATTTTTTTTAAACTATTAATATAGCTTTGTGGTTGTATGGCATCACTAACCAGCCATTTAACCCTCTCAAGGCAGGGGTTGCCGATTGGCAACAGTTAAAAACTAACAACCTCATTACCCCACATACATATTTTATGAGTTTTTTTTACTCAGAAGTACCACTGCAGGACTTGGTTGTGCATTAGCAACAAAAAGTTTAATTTGAGCCTGAGAGCGTTAATATTTATAGTGAATGATTTTTGAGTTAATGAGTTTTGCTGCTGGGCAGAAAAGTGCTGCAAAACATCTGGATGTGAAAGTGAAGCTAATCTTTTTTTAGCTTTTGGGTAAATAATTTAATCCACATTAGACATTTGTGCCATCTGAAGACTAAATGAACATTTGTGTTCAATCTGAAGAAATATCCTTCACACACTCCCAAAATATCTATGAACAACTAGGGCTGAGCCATATCATACCGTTCACGGTAATACCGGTATGATGTTGGGCAACTATAAGAAAATGAAATAGTGTCTTTGTTTACATACGCACATGGCGGCGACGGAGAATAAGAAGGGCGAAAGCGGATCGTTGAATGAAACGGATGAACCAGAATTGGTTTGTAAAAATGCTGCAACGTCAGTGGTGTGGAACTGGTTTAGCTTTCGTCCGTCAGATACACAACAAAGCACTATTTTTGGTAGAGCATGCTAGCGGGCCATCGTTATTACCGTGTTTTTTGGAAAATACAGCACACTTAAAATCAATCCTTGGATTTTTGTGAAAATCGACAGAGCCCCTTATAATCCCGTGTGCCTTATGTATGAATTCTGGTTGTGTTTACTGACCTC